AAAAGAATTCAATCTCCCATCTCAACATGCTCCTAACAGGAGTGAATGAGTCCCTGGTGAGCAGGCATTTGTTTTCACAGACACATCACAGCCCCTGGCAGTTTATTGTGTGTGTGTAGCAGAGCTAATAAATACTCCAAGATTTAGGAAATGTCACCTTTCACAAACCCATATGTCATTTGCAGACAACAGAGGCGTTTGTAGACAAATCCAAATCTGGAGGCTTGGAGGGAATCCAGTTTAAGAGGGCGTGTTACCTACGAATGAACTTGCCTCTGGCATTTCCAGCAGTACGCTCCCCTGCTGAGCGGATGAATAATCCTTAAAGTGAGAACTCTGGGTTCCTGACGGCACTAGCAGAAAACGGTGACAGATTCCTCTCAAAGTTGTAGATCACTCCTATGGGAAAGGCTTTTCACTCCGGAGACACACTCATATTCCGGAGTGGATAACAGCTCTAATGCTCGTCTCCGTTTGAGTTTAACCATTTCTCATGTCCAAGAAAAGCTTCAGCCAGAGTTTTCCACTTCTTCCTCAGAACTCAACTTGCATCTATCACCCTCCTGCTCTGTATGTCACTGCTCAAAGGAAGTTTTTTTATTTTTATGGTGGGGATCTTTTCATTGCGACCTGAGTTGGCTTTGGTGAATGTTACCCCCTCCTTCAGAAGGATAGCTCCAGTCTTTCAGACCCTGATGTCTTTGAGTGATATTAAATATTCAGCTTTTATTTTGTAAAGATTACGTAGGATATGTCCTTCCTCTTTCCAGCCAACAGGTAAACTCGGTTGTTCAGAACTCTTTAAAACATTGCTCCAGTCTCTTCACAAGCCCAAATGATGTGATAATTATGGTCCAAAAGCGTCCCTCTTGCACCTGAAGCGTTTTCTCTCACACAGCTCAGATCCCCCCAGGGACACTGCTCACTCTGTAGCTTTTAAGTGACACACACACACAGTCCAGTGGCTTTTTGTGCGCAGTGCTTGCAAGGCTCTTGTTGCTGCTGCTCTGTGCACACCCCCACTCCTTTCTTTGGATCTCCTTGGACCCAGGACACCAATCAGGTACTTTGTAATCAGCCTGCTCACTCCTGCCCTACAAGTGCTAAGACCACGGGGTGAGGAGAACGAGAGAGGGAGGGGGGAGGGCTGTTGTTGTGATACAGAATGTCTGATCTTAGTCTTAGTGCTGCTGCATCCATGACTCATGAGAAGCTGTAATAAAAGAGAAACATGCTGGAACTGATTGACCAGAGTGCAGTGATTGTCCTTTGAGGATTCTTTTTCCCGTGGTCTGCTTTTAGCTCAGTCTTGATTATGCATCTTTTCCCCACTCTGATTTTAACCTCCCTCCTCCCTGTGATATTTCTGCCCCTTCCTCTCTTCCTCAACTTACCTCTCCCCCTCCTCTCTGCCCGAGTAGGGCTTTTCTCCTTGCTGAGGTGATATCAGCGAGTCAGAGAGCCCGTGCACTGCCCTCTGCACCGTCAGCAGCGCATTTGCACAAGCCTCATCGGAACAATACTCCCCTAGCCCATTCAGACGACAGAGACAAGTGGAGATGTGGCAGCCAAACAGCAGTGTGGCGCCAAGGGCTGATCAGAAAATATCCTGTTTTCAACAGAAACCCTCTTGGAAATACAGGACTGTCTGCAGCAGCGGCTCTTTGTTGCTTCAACTCAGTTGCCAGTTTTTCAAATTTTCCATTAGGATCAATGTTTGTTTTTTTTTTCCTTTTTTCTCCCACTGAGCAAAATTGGACAAAAAAATGTCAAAGCATTAATATGCAACAGTTTTAGACAAGTGCTGCATATTATCTCAGTTTGTGTGCACTGGATTTTGCTGTCAGTTCAGTCCTTGTCCAGCTGCAGCTTCTTTGAAAACAGGCATAATTTGATATATATGTATAGGAATTTTATATATATATCATATGTATGTGTTTTCACAGGTGCTCTGCTTGTGGGATGCTCCAAACAGAAGTGGAAAGAACGAGTAGAAGAAATAAAATGCCTATTTTTAAAATTCCCTCTTCCCCCTTTGTTGCTGCTTCTTCATCAGTGTGTATTCCTTTTTCCTCGCTGCGTTGCTGCTCAGTACGTCTGTATCCCGTCCGCCGGTGGTGTTTGCGCTACTGCTGCTGTTCTCTGGCAGGACTGGGCGACAATATCTCTCACACACACCCTCGCTCTCCTTCTCACACTCCTCCCTCTCTTGCTCACTCCTCCCCTCATTTTTTTTTCACACTCATTTTTGTGAGCTCTTACGCTCTCTCTCTCATTGTGTCACTGACGCTCTCTCCTCTCAGTTTTGTCCCATTTTGTTTTCTGACTATCACTCCGTGCCCTTTTTCCTTAATACTCACTCCATCCCTGCCCTCTTTTGTTTTTATTTCCATTCATCTCTGTACACCCCCTGTCTAGCTAACCTTTTCACTTTGCTTTGGCTCCCTCTTTTTTTGTTCTCCAGTCATTACTGAGCTTTTATCTGCTCTCCTTTCATCCATCCCCAGATTTTCTGCCTCTTTCTCCTCTTTCCCAAAATGCACATCACTCCTAACAAATGAGAGCATTGGTGCGGACTGAGTGACACGTTGCAATGTACAGGCATGCATGTGTGATGATGTCTATACTGTATGTGTGTGTATAATTACTGCGCTAATAGCTCTGCACATCCTCATCTTTGTCTGAGCATGTGTGGAACATGTATGGTGCTGCAGTCTTTCAAGTCGCATTTAGGGAGAGAGAGAGTAAAGGGATGGATGGAGGGAGATGAGTGAGAGTGAGATAAAGAGAGGAAGGCAGAAAGAGAAGGGAGAGAGAAGAGGACACTGGAGCAGCTGCCAAAGAGAGAGGGAGAAGGGACTTGACAGAGGAGCAGGGGATGGAAAGAGGGGCAGAATTATTGCAGAGAAAGGAGGAGGATTAAGAAACATGGGGATAGCAACTGAATAAGAAGTGACAGAGGGATAGTGGGGGGGAGTGACAGAGAGATATAGATAGGAAGAGAGTGCAGACAGGTAGGAGGGGAAAAAGCTATTTCAAGAGAAAGACGTATAGCACTTGGAGAGAAAGAATATTTTTCAAAAAAAGTGCAGAGACAGTTGAAATTCCCAGGAAAAAGACAGAGGAGTGTTATGAATTCTGAATGATCCCAGATACAGTGTTTAATGTGGACTTTTTAAAATCTTAAAGAAGAAGAAGAGGTAGCGCCTTTGGATCTCAAGCCCTGGGCAAACCTCATCAGAAAACAGTGAGGAAGAAGAAAAAAAAGCAAAGGAAGTGCCGCTTAATATTTTATCATGTTTTTAAGTGGATCTTAAATATTCCTTTTCCCTTCACCTTCTCCTATTTCAGCTTTCTACTTGTTCCCTTCTTACACACTCGGTACAAATGATTTTTTGTTTGAGCTACACTTTTTTGGGGGGGTTGTTTTTCCTGCAGCTCATCTTCACTCATTCTTTACACTCTGTCCAGTCTTCTCAGCCTAAATTTGCTGAAAATCTTTGGCAAAGTGCAGAAGGAATTATGTCAAGAACACACTTACAAAATGCACACTCCCATGACTTCACACTATAGTTCTGTGATGTGCCTCCTCCTTCCCCTAATCTGACATTTAAAAATGATGCATTTCCTCTGATGGCAGGCCATAATCTAGAAAATTCAATCAAAGCAGTTGTGAATGAAGACACGTGCCCCATCAAATACACAGGGCATGGCATCTCAGTGCTCAGAAAAGCAGTGAGACATAGAAGTGAAGGGTGTCGGCTGACAAGAAAGAGGGATGAGATGATGGAGAGGCACAAAGACAAAATGAGTGAAGGCGTCCTGGAGGAGAGATAGAGGGCAAAGGGTACAGATTGAATGGTAGATCTATCTTAAATCATTTCACTCTCCTTCTTTGCTTGGCTGCAGCCTAATAGCACACGTTGATCAGTCTCTGTTCCCGTTGTCCTCCTTTAGCTCTCTTTTTCCTGCACAGGGGATTTGATACAAGTATTAGGCAGTAAAGATAGCAAAGCTACCATCTGCATTTGTTTACTTCACAAACGTATCTGGAAGTGAATGGGCACTGCATCTAAAGTCATCTAGATTGAATTATCTGTCCTAAATTGTCTGTCATTTTTACTTCATCCATAACTTTAGCTACTAGACAACCAGCCCATTCTACAATCATGTTACTATATATATATGTCAGCAGAATGGGAAGAACAGAAGCTCACATTATTCCTAGGTGGTGTTAGCCCAATGCTAACCTTACAGTGATACCAGACAAACAGGCTAAACTAGCTACTGTAGGTGGGGGATATTGTCAATTTTAGAAGCTCCCATTAAGTCCAACTCAGAGGTCGAAGGCTGATTATGGTGTAAATGATATGACATGAATGCAGCAATGAAGCCTGTTGACATCAACAGTTAAAATAGAGAAATTAAGGCAGTTTCAATTCACTCCATGGGGTTGTGGTGAGTTGGGAATTTTTTGTGTGTTGCACCATCCATTTTCATTTACCCGTCCTTTGTTCATGCTCCCCAAGAGAGGAATGGTTTGCAGACAGTTATGAGCCGGAGCCGATGGAAGTACAAAGGAAAATATGATTGCACCGGACTACACTGTACTGGTGGTGTGCCAACAAGGCCTCCAGCCTGGGAGCGTCTCCTGTGGCGGCAGGCATACCAGATCTTTGTTGTCAAGGTTACAGCAATAAACGTGCAGTCAAAGACTAAAAGTTCGTTGCCGAGTAAGGTTATTGAACATGAATCTTGGCAAACGTCTGAATATTGGTTTTGAATCTACACACCAGTGTAGTTAGCCTGCAGTCTACTGGTGCATGTTTTGGCATCGTTGAAATTACATTATTAGCAGTTTGTTTGCATTGTACAGACCATAATCACCTGATGGAGCCTGAATCTAATAATGAGAAACTCTGAGTGCCATTTTTCTATGAAATCTAAACAGATGTATGGATGTAAATAAATTCTCAGTGGATGATATGATCCTCCCACTACAGAGTGAGCTCTGCAGATCGGAGCGTTTCTGTTTGACTCCGTTACGATTCAGAGCAGAAGTGCTGCAATGTTCGTATCAGTCCGGTGACGGGCAGGTGAGGAGAGGGAAGGGGGACAAATATAAGTGTAGAAATTCAGATGCTGTTCATTTCTGGATAATTTGTTCATGTTTATGAGCAGGTGGCTCTCTTCTCTTTTCATGGCTCACTCTCTCCAGCTTTTCTTTCCACCTCTGTCCTTGTCACCAAACAGACTCCTTTCTTTTGATGCCCTTCATTTTTCTTCTTCTCATCTTTCACCTCCGCTCCTTACCTCTCCTCTCCCACTCACCCTTCATTAAATTTTACAAGAAAACTCGAGGGTAAACATGATTCAAAGCCAGCCTCTCTCTCCCTCTTCATCTCTGTCACCTTCCCGCCTCCACTGCCACTTCAGGCCACATCCGTTCTTTACCTTCACCTCATCCTTTCCTCAGTCCAGCTCCATTTCTCACCTCATCCTCCCATCTTTTCATCAAGCTGTCTCCCACGGCTCTCAGACTCCAGTGTGTGCACCACACCATGGCACACCTGTCACTCCCACTCCGTCTCTCGGCTCATGGGAGGGCTGACTTTTTCTTAGCGTGTCACTCCCTCTCGTCGGCTATAGCTGCTCATCATTCCTGTATTTTCTCACTGTCACTCACTATAGATTAGTTCAGGGTGGAGAAAAAGGATGGAGTTATCTGATAGCAACACAGAGAAGGCTGTGAGCGCATACAAAGTGAGAGGGAGATGAGAAAAAAAAAAATTAGAAATGAACATGGAATAATTTGGGAGAAAGTGTGACCTGACTGACATATCACTGCAAATTGAACATGCTGCATTAAACATGTATCATACTTGCATATTAGTATTTACTGTAAAAAGGGCAAATGTGAAAGAATGGTGCAACATTTTGGAAATATGCATACTCACTTCCAAGAGCAAGATGTGAGGATAGATATCTCTCTCATATCTGTCAATTAAATATTAAACTCCAGCCAGCTACAGCCTAGCCAAAGGACTGGAAACAGGGCAAAGCAGCAAAGATTGGCCAGCAGTAGGTGTGCAGTAGGTGTGCAGGTCATGAAAAAGAATCCACTGCTCCAACATTTAATCCCTAAGCTGTTCAGACGTCACTGTATCAGTAACAATTTAAAAAAAAACTGAATTTTCTGTTTAGTTTATTACTGGAATGCACAACTTGAAAGGGGTTATACTCTAGAATAGTCCATACAGTAATAAGTCTCTTTTCTCTGTTTTCCTTTGTATTTTATAAGGAGGTCTCCCATGTGCAGATCAGTGACTGCTGGTAATTTAAGGCTTTGTTTTAACCAGCCTATTCA